GGGGGGGCAGTTGAAGTGCTGTGCTTGATAGCCTCTTGGCCAACCCAGTCAGGATCACCTGTCAGACTCCAAGATCCACCAGTAGATTCTGAGCTACTGGTTGGTGACCACTGCTTTAGAAGAATCTCTGTGTTTGTAGGATCAGGCCCTCCAATGGTAATGCTTTTAAATTCCATGCTGATGCATCTCTAGGAGAGAGAGGGGGGGCAGTTGAAGTGCTGTGCTTGATAGCCTCTTGGCCAACCCAGTCAGGATCACCTGTCAGACTCCAAGATCCACCAGTAGATTCTGAGCTACTGGTTGGTGACCACTGCTTTAGAAGAATCTCTGTGTTTGTAGGATCAGGCCCTCCAATGGTAATGCTTTTAAATTCCATGCTGATGCATCTCTAGGAGAGAGAGAGAGAGAGAGACGGCTGCTGCTCCCATTTACGCTGAAAATCTTGCAGCAAACTTACATGCCTCCTGACTGGTCTTTCCCTTCCATGGACAGGGTAGTGAAATCCAGGACAGTGCCTATTTGGACGGTGAAAGCACGTACAGTGAGGCAGAGCTGTTCCCTGATGAAGACACGATGACTCTGGCCCAGCAAGAGGTTCACCATGAGTCCGACATGGACAGCGCCATCGAGAGCGTGCAGAGCTCAGAAGCATCTGACGTGTGTTGCAGCGAAGAGAAGGACGTTGTGCTCAGCGGACTCTTTCTGCCTGTAGACAAGTGAGTGGTGATGTCTGTCAAGGCACAAGTCTTAGGCAGGGGAGGGGCTAAACCAGCTGATCCCTGGTTTTAGGCCTGTCTGGGCTGAAGTTCTCAGATGTCTGGAATAGGGATGTGAACGACTAGTTGCTTCTCTTCCCGCCTCCTCTCCCCTCCCCCCCCCCCCCCCGCCCTTGCTGCCTCTATCAGAAAGAGGCATCAAGGGGGAGTGGAAGAGGAGGGAGCAGCTCCATGCGGCGCTGCTGCTTTGAAATGCCACCTGCAGCATTTCAAAGCGGCAGCATGCATGGAGCCCAGCGTCAGCCCTGAGTGCCCAACTGGCCCGGGCTACACATGGTGTTTCAAAGCGGCAACGCCGCATGGAGTACGGGGTCTGCCGCTTTGAAACTGTGTGCTGCCACTTTGAAACGCCGCAGGGAGCATGGGGCTGGTGGAGGGACAGCTTGAGTCCCCCGCTGGCCCCGTGCTCCTGCAACGCTTTCGACTTTGAAGTGTAGCAACAGCCCTGGGACTGTTGCTACACTTCAAAGACAGAGGCGCCTGTATCGACTAGTCGAAATTTTACATCCCTAGCCTGAGATTGGGTGTCCAGATCCTTCTATTGAAAATTGAATGGGATTTGGTCACCATCTCCCTGGGTGGCTTTGAAAACCACAGCCCCTCCTGTCTTCTAGCATGTTCTCCAGGCTCTCACAGGGTTAACACGTGACAGTTCGGCTGAAGCTGAGTCCCATTTTAGAATGACAACACCAGCTACTTATGAATTTGGATCACCATGCTAATTGCCCAAAATGGGTGGATTTTTCATAGCCCATTGGCATTAACTCAAAGCAACAGAGCTTGTAAGTGGTTCTCCAGCCTAAGTCAGTCTCTGCCAACACACTCCAAGGATGGGAGGGCCTGGCTGAATTGACTTGGTAGGGGTAGTGGAGGAGTTTGTTGCCATCCTCGGTGCTGGGTTCCCCCTGGCGTCTGGAGGCACCTTTAGGTTTGTTGGCAGCTAGGGTGTTTCAGGCGTGGGTCTGCAACGTTAAGAAGTCATGTCTGGCAGCCAGGGAAGGACACACAACTTATGACCACCTGTGACAAGTTTAGTGTAAGTGACTTGCCCAGCATCGGGTAGAACTGTGGGCACCATCCAGCCGATCGCAATCGACTGATCGATCACAGGGGCACTGCCAGTTGATTGCAAGGCAGTGTTCTCAGCCCCCTCTCCTCCCCGTTTCCAACAAGGAGCCTGCACTGGCGCTACAGCCTCCTGTAAAAATAGTGCTAGCTCCGGCTTCCTGCGGCGTGCGAGGAGGGAGTCCCACAGTTCTGTACCAGATCTGGAATTGGATCTGGCGCGGAGCCTAGGGACTTCTCCCTCCCTCCCGCAATGTTGAAGGAAAGGAGGAAGGCAGCACAGGGAAGGAAGGGAAGACTGGAAAGTGTGCACCTCTCGCCTGCCCACAACAGCACGTGCGCTTTCTTTTCTACCCTTCCTTCCCCATGCTCCAGGAAGAGGGGTGGGGGGTAGTTAAAATGGCAGGGCAGGATCCAGAGCGACTGGATTTCTTAAAGGAGCCACGTGTGTGCTTCTTCTAGTGCTGCCTTCAGATCCTGCCTCAGATCTTCATTCCTGGAGACCCCCAGGTATCAGCTGAGCTGCTCCTGCCCCCCCACCAGCACCCTGGCCAGGCCCCCACCAGCACCATGCTGCTGCCACCTTCCTCCTCGCCAGACTCCTATCCCCAGCTTGGCTCCTGTACCCTACTTTCCACCCAGATTCTGCTAGGCCACTGGCATGGAACCTCTGTGGCAGAGGCAGGGATATGATCCAACGTCATGACCCTCTTTCTCTTCCTTTGATCCCCTGCCTCATTCACTTCACAGCTGGCATTCAGACTATGGGAGGGAAGGTCCCAACCACTAAAGTATTTCAGGAGCTATGGGTCTAGATAACAGAAGAACAAGGCCTAGCCCAGGGGTCCAATCTGGCGCTGGGGAACAGTTGGCCTTGAGGAGGAGGGTAAAGGGGTCAGGGTGCAAGCCTAGGACTTGGAGTCAATTCTCTGATCCACCACAGGCTTCCTAGGCAACTCAGTCTGTCTATGCCTCAGTTCCCCCTCTGTAAAATGGGGATAACAGTCCTATCCTACCTCACACTGGAGTTCCGAGGGTAAAGCTGAGGTGCTCGGTAGCTGTGGTAAAGGGGTCCAGATAACATAACAGCTGTCATATCTATAGACATTTTGCCCCCCCCCCCCTTCCATGCACTCTCCATACTACAACCTTAAAGAACAGAAGGTGCTAAAATGCTTCGCTGACTAGTTACTGATCTGCCCTCCACTCCCCCCAGGAGTGATAATATGATAAATCCCTTCTATCAGGATATAAACTAGCCTATCTTTATGGTCCCAAATGTCCTCTTTTCCCGCACCTGACGTGAGTTGCCCTAAATTCTAGCAGGGTGTGATTGTGCCATCCAGCCATCATTCACTTCGAGATATTGCTTCATTTAAATTTTAGATTCCAGAAGAAACCAGGTACAAATGAAAGGGTCACGCTCACGAGCTCTTTGTAAAAAGAGCAGTGATGCAGAAACAATTGCGGTGTCTAGGAGACCTGAGCCAGGTTCCCATTGCTTTCCGGCTCTGCCACTGACGTGGCATGTGACCTTGGGCAAATTATTTAACTCTGCTCTCTACCTCATCTTTTTAAAACAATCCCTGAACGTTCAGGACAGGGTTGTGGATTGTGACACTGCTCCCACCAGTGGCATGAGCTCATGAAAGGCAAGAGAGCAAAAGTAGAGCCTGCACATCTGCAGATAACTGCTTTATAGCCGCAGGTATCCATGGACGTGGATGCCGATATCCGCAGTTCATTTTTGCAGATATGAACCAGATATGAACTAGTGTTCCTTCTAATCTGTGCACTTGGGCAGCTAACCAGGAGAAATTCAAATGCCACCCAGCTGATTAGCAGAGTGCCCATAGCTGGCTGCTTGTGTTTCTACCAGTGGTGCATATCTGCAAATGCCTCCATGCACATAACATTTATTCCGCACATGGATTTAGAGAACATTGATGCACATTTTATATCTAGAACCTGCAAATTTGCAGATATCTGCTTTGTATCCGCATATGTGGATGCAGCTATCCGTGGATTGTTTTTGCTGATGGGGATACCAATTTTGTATCTGTACAAGGCTCTAAGCAGGAGATGCTGAAACTGTTATAAGTCAGAAGTAACGAGTCTTGTTTCTCTGCTCATTTGTCCTGTCAACTTCACCAAATACAAACACACACTTTTATATAGACTTATTGCTGTAATGATGTGGATGCATTTTTTTTAACTATTTATAGTAAATACAAGTGGATCATGAAAGCTTTTGACTTTGAATAAGGAGTCACCAGCCCAAACTGGCTGAGAAACAGACAAAAGGAGGCAGGCAGTCTTACGAGGGTTGGCTTCCTACCATTCTGATGTTTTGTTTCAGGTCAAGTCCTCACAACCCCTCTGCAGCATCTGACCTCTCCACCTATTCCACCGCCTCTCTGATCAGTAACGAGGAACAATTTGAAGACTACGGGGAAGGAGACGATGTGGATTTTACCCCCAGCAGCCCGTGCCCTGATGATGAGACCAGAACAAATGCCTACTCTGACCTTGGCTCCTCTGTGTCTTCCAGGTTGCTCCTTACTCTGATTTACCTTTTGAGAGCACGTACCAGACCTTCCTGCGATGGTCTAGTTATTTTAAAGCTGAAGTTCAGTGTCTGTCCACAACACAGTTGGCAAAGGTCTTGCTTGTAAAAACCACGGCAACGATTATGATGTTTCCAGTGACCATGACGTCCAGTCACACAGAAATAAACCTCTAGTTTTGCACCTAGATGTAGTCTCCTAATATACAGCAACTCGTGCATGCCACAACCAGAACCACAATTAGAAACTGACTGACTTAAAGCTGGAAATCTGATTATTTTGAGCAATGTTAGTCCTTGGGTAATGTCTGGGGGGGGCTAGTATTAAAGTCCCCTTAGTGTTCTAACGCTGGGTATTAAATACTCACTTAAAGACATGAGCGAATTGAACCAAAATGTCTTAAGTCAGCAGTTCTCAAACTTAAATAACCCAAGGACCCCCTCATCTTGATTGAAAATGTTTCATGGACCCTCCAGGCCCCACCCCCTCCCTTCTCTTCCTGCCCCCTCGCCACCCCTGCTCCTCTTCTCTCCCCCAAGCGTGGCCTATTCTTCCTCCCCGCATCACCTGCATGCTACAAAACAGCTGTTTCCTGCTGTGCAGGAGTGACTGGGAGGAGGAGGAGTTGGTCAGCAGGGCCAGTGTCCTTGAACATGATTCCACCACCTCCTGAGCATGCCCCACCCCCTCAGTATCTCCTGCACGCTGCATGCAGGCGACACAGGGAGGAGTTGATGGAGGGAGGGGGCTGGTGGATCCCCTGGAGTACCCTCTCAGACCCCCGCCCCCAGTGGTGTGAGGACCCCTGGTTGAGTAACACTATCTTAAATCACTGGGCGAAGCACTCACTCTTCTTTACTACTTGGAGAGAAGCTGGCCTGCAAACAGCTGGGTCCTGTCTTTTCCCAGCACCCTGGGCTCCGAAAACTGGACTCTTGGTGGTTCTGATAGCATACCCCAGTTTGAAAGCTACTGGTCTGTGTGAGCTCTCATCAGGGGGGTACACCAGAAAAATTCTGTAATGGTACCAACACACTTAATTTTGCCAGAGTTGGCAGTCTAATCGTAGGACTTGTCTATACTTCTGGGATCATTGATGTTCGGGAGGACCCACTAAATAGGATGCTGAGGGTGCCCCTGTCGACCCCGGTACTTCTTGGAGTCGCAAAGAGTAAGGGAAGTCAATGGGAGAAACTCTCTTGTCAGCCTCCGGCAGTGGGGCTGCTCCAGAAATTCATTTTAAGGTACATCAACTCCAGCTACACAGTTCTCCTAGCTGGGGTTGCAGAGCTTAAATTGAATTTCTCTCCCAGTGTAGACCTGGCCATACGTATGTTATGACCCTCTCTCAGGTATGTGGTCGAGTTTGTATGCGTTATTTTTATAGGGGTAGGCAGCCTACAAAGTTTGAAAACCACTGACATAGACCATAGAAGAGACAATTTGCTCTGTTAAAATCTCTCCTCCAAGTGGGATTTGGTATTGCAGTAACTAAGTTGTAGTTGTTCCAGAGCCCATTCCGATCCCCATCTTTGCTCCTGTAGCTGGCCTTGACAGAGCAGCTGGGATGGGAGCAACGTTCCTTCTAAACTTGTCCACTCGTGTGGAATAATTTTATGTGCACCAAGGCATGTGTAAATGTGCACCACCAGTAGAAACAAAAACCTAGTTGTAGATGCTCTGCTCATCAATTGGGCAGCACTTGGAATCTGTCCTGAGTGGCCACACAGCTTACAAGGAGCACTGAATTCCCCAGCATGACAGTTTATGAAATACCATCAAGAGGGAAATGAATGTGAATTAGTTACAATAGCCAGTAATATGTCTCCTTTGTCACACACAGTGCGGGGCAAACCCCAAGGAAAATGAGGCACATTTATAACAGCGAGTTGCTGGACGTCTACTGTTCACAGTGCTGCAAAAAAATAAACCTGCTTAATGACTTGGAAGCCAGGCTGAAAAACTTGAAAGCAAACAGGTGAGTAGCCAGCACTCTTCTCAGCAGCCCCTTTTGAAATGGGGCGAGCCAGCAGTCAAAGCAACAGCTGCTAAATGAGGAGGAAACTGCAGTTATATGCCCCATCCACGAGCTCTTAAGTTGCAGAGTGAAGGTGATATTTGCCTGTGGAGCAGCCTCTCACTGCTCAGCGCAGGTGGATAAAGCGCTGGGATTTGTCTCGGATTGTTCCCTGTAGCACATTTCTGTCACTGAGTTGATCTAGTGAGTCTCTGGGGCGGATCCACAGCTAACGTCAATTGTCCTCACTCCATTGATGTCAGTGGAGCTATGACTGTTTACATCAGCCAAGAATCTGCCTCAGGATCTCTAGATTCCGCGGCTTGATACTGCAGCTGCAGAATGGGTGGTAGGAAAGTGGCTTGAAGATTTTATTGTCACTAAAAGGCAGATTTGGGGAAACAATGCAACTTTAGAATCAGGATGATGGTCACTTGTATCCCCTTCAGTTCTAACCTTTTCTTGAAACCCCTGTGCCGAGTGTTGCCACCCGCATGTAGCCAGACAATTGCAAAGCATTTTCCTTGGACTCGGAAGGAGTCTGAATATTTCTACACATTCCCTGCGTATTGTGGCAATTCATCTGTGAACCTTTAGCTCCCCCTAGAAACAGAATATGCCGCTTGCCTTGTTTCACAAGAACATAATGCACTTCTCTAGGCTCGATCAAACAATGGCATCGTATATTGTTATGGAACAGCGAGAGCTGCTGTCACCGCTGAAATGTTCAACATGACAGTGACATCTTTATTATGAAATTTGATGTTGCAGCTGAGAGTCCTGAATTTAGTGTAGTGTTCTGCTTCAGCAAAAGATGTGCGATCCGTTACTGATACGGCGCCATGCGCTTCTAGATATCTTTGGGTGGGGGCAACTGTTGGAAATGCTTGTCTGTGAAAGCTGCAGCCGAGATTGTATGATAGTTTCATTTTGATTCAAGCTGGTAAAACATACCAGGGAATTTTGTACTGAATACAGTGTTCCCAAAGTCATTTTATTAGGGATCACAGTAGTTTATAGCTCTACGCCCAACTTAATGGTACCGCAGCTTATGATGATAAGAATTTGAGCATTTTTTGGATGACGCAAATTAAAAGCTAAAGTAAGATAGCTGTATGTGCTGTACAGAACTCAGTTGGCAACTGTTGAGATTGGCTATTGTGCGGTTCAATAACAAATACTCTGTTTACTTATTACTTTATTCCTTCTGTCTCTGCGTAGCCCCAACCGAAAAATATCCAGCACAGCTTTTGGGAGGTAAGAAACATGAGCGTGTTCTGTGTCTTTGAAATCATTTGTGACCAGAATTCATGTTGATGCCATGGATGGATGCTCAGAATGAATTACTCAAAGGAAATCAAATAGAGTGCACAGAAGAGAAACTTGGGGGGGAGGAAGTGTGGGAGAGGGGAGGTTTGACAGGGTAGATGTTGAAAGCAGCTTCATTGGAAGAATTACAACTTCTCCCTGATTTTTCTCATTGAAGTTTAACATTCCTCCTTCTCTTTCTTCTCCAGTCAAGTTGGTTAGTCAAACCCTTGTGTACCAGCTTTTTTGACTTATTTCTATCCTCTGCTAGGCCTAATTCTGTGAGGGGTTTGAGAGATTCTCATGGACATGGAGAGCACTCAGCACTCCCAAGTCCCTGGTGAACGAACAAACTACCCACCAGTGCGAAGGAGAGACTGCATTGGCTTGGCATTGCACACGAGAGGGAAGCTAAGCTAGCTAGCTAATTCTGAGTTAGTGGGAGGTTGCTGAAAGGGTTGTAATCTTTCAGGAGACCGCCATGGCAACTTGGGGACTGGAATTAGGAAGACTAGAATTTGATTTACTGAGCTGCAACCTTCAGTGTTGCACAGATGAGCAAACCGCTCAGAGCTACACTAATCAGTAGCAGGCGCTTGGGCCTGAGAAGGCGAAATGGCAAGATGTTCCCGAGTTAAGAGTTTGAAAAGATGCCATCCTGCGCTGCTTGTTTTAATGATTTATTTTAACTTGTTTGCTCCATCAGGCATTGCTATTACTGCCTTCCTGGCCTAACTTTGTTGCCAGAGCACAAAGGGAATTGCCCATTTGTTTAACAGTGCCGGTCACCAGATTCTGGTCCCAATTTGACTAGCAACAAACATTTGCATCATGGAATAAACTTGTTGGTTAAAATAGAACTACAGGTTGAACCTCCCATATCTGGGACTCTCTGGTCCAGCTACATCTGTGGTCTGGAAGGGCCACGGATGTTGCTGGACCAAAGAGCCCCAGATGCAGGAGTAGGAGCCAGCTGAGAGAACACGGAGGCTGGGGAGCCTATGCTGGGCAGCAGCTAAGAAGCCCCCATCCTGGCCAGGGAACCCCCGGTGGCAGCAAGGCCGGTGGCAGCTGGGTGGCCCCGACCAGGGACGCCGGGAAACCCCTGGTGGCAGCAGGGCCGAGGTGACCGGGCAAACTCCCTGGCTGGAGAGTCCCAGGGAATCCCTAGCAGTGTGGGGCCGGTCCTGGAAGTGGGACGGGTTGGCTGGCAGCCCCAGATGGGAACCCCAGGAAACACCCTGTGGTAGTGGGGGGGGCAGCAGCTGGGCGGTCCCAGCTGGGAACCCCAGGGTGCAGGCAGCAGAGTGGGAAACCCCTGCTGGGTCAGCCCTTAGCGGGGCCATCAGCAAGGCAGGGAGCCCTGGAGGCAGCCAGCAGGGGAGCACTGACCTCCCCTGGTCCGGCAAACTCCCTGGTTTGGGATGCTCTGGTCCCGAGGATGCTGGACCAGGGAGCACCATACTGTACAAATGTAAGTGTAATCAGGCCCATGCATAGTTAAGTTTTGTTGAAGCTATTGCATCGATGTTCGCTGGGACGCTGAAGGTGCAAAGCCAGTACATAAAACAGGGAAACCTTTTTTTTTTCTATGACTTAAAAAGAATCCTTCTGCTCTTCCAGACAACTCTTCCACAACAGTAACTTCAGCAGCAGCAATGGCAGCACAGAGGACTTGTTCAGAGACAGCATAGACTCGTGTGACAACGATATTACTGAAAAGGTGAGGAGCCTTCACGCCCTGTTGATAGATTCCACAGAGCTTTTGCTAGTGCATCCGGCAACATAGCTGTGCACCGGAAAAAACCATGGGGGGGAGGGGAGGGCTAGTAGTTCCTATGGGCAAGTGACTTCAGTTGTGATGGCTAACAAGTGAGTAGTAATGGAATAGCCCAAAGTTAGAGTTCACTCCCTCTCCCATGCGAAGCACAAGAGCCTAACCGAAAAGAGAATAAAAGTACAAGCCAAGAATTCCAGATTGTAATACTAGCAGAATTACCCAGCATTGCCTGGGTACTTCAGGGCAGGACCTTGGGGAAGCATGTGTGGGTAGGGCAGGTTTCAGGAGGGGGGGGGCCAGG